CGGTATGCGTGTCCATACATTCGTGGAGAAGTCTTATTTTGTTTAAATTTATTTTGACTCGAAAAATGCGAGTCGATCTCGTGGTTACTGTGACCAGTCACCTTTTGATGAATGAAATTAATGCAACTTAAGAGACAATAACGTGAAATTATCTTTTCTCTCCACAGCTGTTTAAGTGTTGCCTGTAAATACGCATCTTCTGATTGTCTAAAGCCATTTAAGAATTTTGTAGAATAAAATGTCAATTTATTGATATTTCCCATTCCTCTACATATGTTCTTATTTGAGCCTCCTGGTTTTAAGTGAATCGTGATATGGAGCTATAAATAAATGAAAATTGACTCACGTAGAAGCGTGACGATGCCCTCAGCTGTGGTGAAACCAGTCATGTAAGGCACTCGAGCAAACCTCCCTTCCCGCAGAAGCTGTTCTGGAGCGGCTGGGAGAAAGGGTGCTCTGCTAGTTCCAGATTTCTCCACTGACGGGAGAAAAGTAATTGTGAAAAACTCTCGAGACTGAAAAGAAATCCCATGATATTAATAATTTCTAAGTGATGAAGCCGTACAAATTTATTACGAATTGTTAAGCATATGAACGTGTTATTGAAAATTGTGATTTTCGAAATAAAATTTTCTGAGACTTCAGGGTCGTAAGAAACTAGCTGAACCCGTGCGTTTACATCGCAGAGAAGGTAGAGCTCTAGAAAAGTTAGGACTACTACTACGTATCCAAGATCTTTAAGGCCAGTCAATATACACAGTGCGGTTTTTGTGTAGATTGGACGTACAGAAAATGTGCAGTTCAGACTCGATAATTTCTACCTGAAAACTTTCATCTAGAAAGCTTAGTTTGACTCAATAGTTCACTAACACATTTGTTTACCCTACGCGACGGTAATCGGTCATTTCAATTTTGTGGTTATAAGTGTCAAGGTGCGATTGTGTCAAGTTGTGATAAATTACCTCTTCTCATATTTCCGCATTCCTATGTTTCTTTTCTATTCTCTTCATGGTTAGTTAATACTTTATAAAGATCACATCAAGAACGCACACACACAAATACCGCCTCTGCAAGTACTCGGACGGCGCAATTCAGTTGTTTCCCGATAGACCCTAGTGCTGTATTGTGGCGATTCGTAAAGAATTCATACAGAAAACATGCAGACCGTTCATGCACAACTTTTGGCTTTTATACTTCTCTGTTGGGATCTTGAAGTTTTTGTACAGAAACAGTATGAGAATTTGCACGAAAACTGTACCGTGATACTGGCCTTTACAAATGTGTTTACATATATGGATATTGTTTTGGCCTATAAAAGAAAATCCTTCTATTACCCTCTTTAATGTTTTCCATAGATATCTTAGAAAAGTACATGGAATAATTACAATTGATAGTCACACTCCTTTTTCTACTTCCATTGTATATTTCTGTCATTTCATGGTTGCAACCCGTTTCATACTCATTACTATACTGTTCTTGACCAATCATAGAGAAGCGTACAAACCAAGTATTGAAATTTAATTAATCGTTATAGGAAATGTTTCGTTCAATTTGGAACATTAAAATAGCATTTAATATTTTACTGTACTTGCTAGTTTTAATTTCTTTTACTATTAGCATTTTTGTGAAATAATATTTAAAATAAATTGAATCGTAATTGCACTTGGATCATATTTGATTAGCACAGTGTTAGTTATTGGAGACAATATTTGACTTAAGTTAATATCTAAATAATTTAGTCATTTTGTGTTATATGTTGCTGCCGTGTGATTGTCTTTAAAAACTAAACATTTGTTTTAGTTTATAATGTCTGGCGTAGAATGAAAGGCGTAGTTGACACCTTCAGAAATTATCAAAACTAAACTGGTGACATCACAATTATTGTTGCACCTTTTGTACTCCCTCGCAGGTGGTCTGGTAAAACAGTCACCTGCGGTGGGTATGCTAGGAGACAGTCCGCTAGATAGCATTGACTGAATCCTGTCCGTCAACGGCCACTAAACAACTCAGTGTGAAAGTGTAACTTATAAAAATTACCATAAGTCGTACAAAAGGACAGTATTAAACTCGATGTAATGGTTTGAGTACACTCGTGTAAAGTTTACGATATAAGCTCGTTTCTCGCTTGGATTGTAATATCACTGCCCATCATTGAATCATGTTTCATAAATATACTATTTAACGATAACACAACCTATAAGCAAGGCCAAGACTGTTAAACCTTCAGTCACGGACGCCTGAAGGGTTTACAGTCATTAACAAGGCTTTAGATGGTACTAGAAAACAGACGTGATGTTCTGTATTTTAAGCAGCATGAGGGAAAATATTTGCACTCCAGAGCTGAAATATTTGAAGCACAAAATTTGCAACACTATTAATAGCACTTCACATTAATTTCAAGTGACATACGAAGTTTTTGTACGAGTAATTTTGCAGCTGCTGTGGTTCCAGATTTCACGTATTCATCGATGCATCTGCTGATTTCTCGTTGAACAATTTACGCAGTAAATGCTTATAATAATTAATGAACTCCTATACTTACTATAGTTTCTATTTCGTATCTTCATCGAGCAAGGATTATCTCCTTGGCAAAACTTCATATTATGGGACCTTCCAAGCACAAATGCTCTAATAAGACATTTCACCTTAAGGAATAGTGATGTGGATCCGAATGGACGATGAAGGGCTTTCATTTAGCCGTTTACTTCTAAAATAGATAATAATAAAAAAGCCAGTACAAATAATCCATCTTTAAACGTTTCCTCCGCTTAACTTACCACACTCGCAGCACTTATGTATATAAATAAAAAAATTAAAAAACGTATTATTATCTCGAATGTATATTGAATGTAATGTGTAAGAGTATTTTCCGAGATTTAAACAAACATGCTCTTTTTTTAATGATGCTTGTTTCATATCGCTTGGTGTGAGTTGGGTTGTTCGTGTTATTTTAGCATCATTCGGTTTGATGATAAAATGTTCGTCTCTTTTATAACGAGCTCATTAACATGGGTTTTTTCGTCTTCATAAAATATGAAAAATGACGTGTCTTTAGGCAATATTGCAACCTGAGTAGTAATGTAACAACTCAAAATTGCAGTATTCGAGGGAAATGAACTGAAACAATGAAAAAGAATATCTTGCATAAAATTGTTATCATACTGAGAAAATGGGGAAAAAAGATTCGCTATTTTTGGTGCATATCATTCGTTTCAATTATTTCCATTACCGCACAAGAGTTCTTTTTTGTTATGTCTCTGGGGAACTGTACCGAATAAGGTGTTTGCAGCGGTTTCTTTTCCAAAAATTCCTATGTAAGGATTAGCTCTGTTGCTTGCATACTGCACCTGATCGTTAATGGGCGTGAATTGTCTCCGAACGAGCTCCTCAGCGTCGACGCGCTGCAGGCAGGCCACGATGGCGCCTTCCGGCAGGTCGCTGCAGGTGTCGTTGAAGAGGCGTCTGATGGCCACCGCCCGTCTGCGCTCGTTCCTGCCCTCCATGGCGCCTATCAGAGCACTGCCGCTGACGGAGATGGCTTTGTGGAAGAGACCTGCAACAAGAAAGTGATCTCGTTTAATTCGATTGATTAGTGATTCCGGGATAAGGTCATTCGCCACGTAAGTGCAGCGCATGTTTTAACGTGGGAGGTGACGGTGATCTTCTCCCGCTGAGTGGTGAAATCCGGCTCCGAGCTACCGTAGGACTTACAACCAGGGGATTTTTCCAAACAGGTATCTCCCAACAGTGGGGCACCTCTCCAACCGGGACAAGCTCAAGCTCCTGACCGGTCTCCCGGCATGGATGGTAACGTATTGCACGTATGTGTAAATGTGTCTAAGAGGTGAGGATAGGAGAAGGAAGACGAAGGAAAGATCGCGCGAGGTCCTTGGCCCATTGGTAATGGTACTACTCCGGCATTCGCCTGGTATTGATTGGAGAAACCACGGAAAACTACCGATCAGTGCATCCGGCCGCTAGAATTCCCCTCCGGACAGTGATTGAAGTGGACATAACTCTTTAGCTAGCCCCTGAGCTATCACTCCCTGATCGACAAAGTGATCGTCATTAAAGAAAATGTTGAACATCTTTAAGCTACAACGCCTCCTCCCCTTCGCGCGCTTATCCTTTTTATTCCTAAAGTTAAGTACCACTTTCATAGTTTAAGTGTTTGTAGTTACCACTTTGCTGTGGCACCTCGCAATTTGAGTTTGTGAACATTCAGTTTTCTGAACTTGTTTTTCTTCTAACTTGTTGTATATGTGTGGCTCAGTCGTGACGTAGTACTTTCATTTCGCAAGGAGGCGTCTTTGAACGCATTTTGGCCCTTTTGAAATGCTTCACAATAAGGTTAATATATAAAATTACAATTTGTACACAATGTCAAATGTAAAATAAATGTCGTTTTGTACTAAACGTTTTTACAAAATTAGAAAACTAGGCCTTATATTCCGATTTTCAATTATGATAATGTCGTAAACCCTGCACCTCTTCTACTGTTATCTAGTTGTGATTATTAGACGTTAATGTTATCCACTGGTTATGATAATTAAGGTGTCAAATTTCATGGGCAAAACTAAAAGAATGACGGAAGTTGCATGAAAATTATCCGAATGAATTGCTATGGAAACGTTTGTACTCATGGATTTGAAGGAAAATCTGTTTTACTCTCCAATTCACAACGGCTTTTTACAGTTGTTTGGATTAAATTATTAACACATTTTATTTTACTCGATTGTTATTCTAAAAATTATACTATTTATAGTCACATTGTGCACTTTGTCTATGAATGTTATACATTGGAAATTGGTTAATCAATATTTCTGAATTAATGTATTTTTTGATGAGTTCTTCCCCTGAAATTGGGTTTTGCAATGTTTACTAGCTTACCACGCATGAAAATTCTCTAATGGAGAAATATAAATAAACATTTAAAGAAAATAATTATTTCGAGTAGTTTGACAATTGTCCAAACAGCACAGGAGGTTTGCTTCGCCTAGATTACCGATATCAAAAAGCTCAAAAGTTTCCAAGCAATTTGCGACACCGTCCAATAAACTTGAGAATCGACTGTTTTGAAAAGCTATTTCTTACAGATTTTTGTCGGAACGATATTTTGTCAACGAAAAATTATCCTGAGGTCTATTTACTACAGGAAAACGCGTTGAAGATATTGAGAGTGTGGGTTAACCTTATTGTATTTAGTCGGTTCCCCATATTGAAAAAGTAATCGCAATTTCCGCCAATATTGCGACGCAAACTGTGCCCTGAAGCTCGTTAGCTAATGTCGGATATGATGCACAAGAGCCCACCCAAGGCTTTCCGTCATGTAGCGCAGCTTGATGCACGTAATACCAACGATTTTTTTCTTTATCACTTTCACCAGCATGGTGCCATTGCGGAGAAACATTCCTAGCGCACTCTACAGTAAAACCCCGGTAATACGAACGTGAGTCGAACATCAAGCAGATTCGATTCCTTATGGGAAAATATTACTTAATTTGCAAATTCCTCTTAAGTGGTACATACTACTAAATAAACATGTGATATACATCATACTTACCAGTGCAATAATTGTTTCATTTAGACAACTTGTGTTTCAATAATTCAGTTCTACAGCAATTATAAAATCCTTTCTGTATACTATAAATAAGCCTTTCTTTATTTTCCTCCATCATGAATTTTGTTCGGATTATCCTAAATTTCGGATTAGCGAGGTTCTTCTGTATTTCAATTTAAAACTTGTTAAAATGAGGACATGCCTTTAGAGAGGGGAGACATCATGTGGTAGTGCACAGAAACAGCGCCAGCGCTCCAGCCCATGATTGTGATGTTGTTGGGGTCTCCTCCGAAGGCAGCGATGTTCCTCTGCACCCAGCGTAGGGCCATCGTCTGGTCCTTCATCCCTGCGTTGCCTGGCGCCTGAGAGTCTTCCGTATTCAGAAATCCTAAAGAGAAAAAATACAAAAGGATGAGCCAATATATTTAATTTTTATAATGTAAACTATGATATGCCATCAGTTGTTAAAGTTTCGACGGAGTTCCCAATTTTTCGTTCGATATGTGGAGGTTCAGAACAAAATGTCGCACCAGACTTCGTTTAATTTTGCTTCTCTTATATTTTGAATCCGAAGGGTAATATACTTCGGACCTCACTATAATCCGGTCCAATGACATGCACTCCAGAAACATATTCCGGAATATTTTATTGCTGGTTCTGTATATATTTTTGTTTTTGGGAGTGCTGATTTCACGTTTTACATTTACCACCTCGAAAAATGTAGTTTCGTAGAGAATACTGCAAAAATCACTCGAAAATTTCTATTTTGTTCACGTATACCTTCAGAACTATTCGTTTTAGTAAAAATATTATTGATTAAAAATAATGAAAACAAAATTTCGCACAAAATGCACACTATTGTGTATTAATTTTCATTTTTCATAACTACTCAGAAGGAGAAACGGTAGCGCACTGAAAAACAGCAATTTATTTGCTCACTTGCCAAAACGGAAGAAAAAACTAGCTTAAAACAAATTATGTAAAGAAGGGAACAGACAATGGGATAAGAATATCTTGCCTAATCTGGACAAGAAAATAGACAAGAATAGCACAATAAGAAGCCATTAGTCGCACATACTTCCAGTTCGAACAGGCGGAGCGCAACGGTGGTTAACGGAAACACATTTCATCAAAGTACTATGATCCATCAATTACGTTTTACTTTTTTTGGTTCTATAATTTAGGGAAGAAACTCACCCATTACTCCAAGACGGTAGTTGATAGTGACGAACACTATTCCTCGGCGAAGTAGAGGATCAGGGCGTTCAAAATTTGTGTTGCCGGATGATACAAGGAAAGCCCCTCCGTGAATAAATACCAGCACTGGTCGCTTGATTGATTTCCAAGACTCAGGACGCTGCGCAAATTTTCAAAAGCATAATTAGTGTGATGGATATGTAAGAGTAGCGTGGAACCATCCTTAATTTTCAGTTATTATATGTGTCCCTTCGGCTATTCTTGACGTTTGAGAACACCTTACTGTTTTGTATGCGACGAGTGGTTTTGGAATTTTGTTTCGTATTACAGGTACGTTCGTATGAATACTTTTAAGAACTGTTTATACAGACGTGAATACACAAATTTTTATTAATATACAAACGCAATAATTTAAATCAGGAACTATTATTTTTAGTTCGCAAGCTCACTTTAACCAGTATAGTTTCGGAAATGCTACATTCTCGTATTTCTTTTGTGTTGGCTACCTGAATGTGATATTTTTTTACGATTTTATGTTCAAATATTTTCCATTGTGTTTCAGAACTTAAATGGGAAGTTCAGTAATCTGACGTCATTCAAAACGTCTTACAAAAAACTCCAAAAACTCATTACAACTGTTTATATTTTGACTAATAATATTACTATAATAATACAGTCAAACTGAACTCGTGCAAAAACTTCTCACTTGCTAAATAATTGTTTTAAAAGTGAAAATTATTTAATAGCAGAACCCAACCACAAACGGAAAGCCTCTGAACTATGCGTTAGAGGCCTGGTGCATGTGTACTTAGCGTGTGTATGTGAGGTTCCAATGTCCCATAACGTTGAGGTTGTAATTTCCAGTGTCCCATAACGTTGAAGTTGTAATTGCTCCAAAACTAATCACTCCGTTTAATTTCATCGTAAAATTTGAGGGTTGGAGCAGAAGTCACGGCAACTTTTTTTTCTGAAAGAAATGTTATTGGGTCACACATTTCATTTGTAGCGTGAAAGAAATGTTGCTGAAGGGTGTGTTCACATCAACAGATGGCTGTGTGAGTGCCTATATTAGCACCGGGAGCCACGTGAAATCGGTTGTTTACCGCCGCACGAGATGAATGTAACATGTTTAGACTAGCGCACGTACTCCAAGACGGGCGTTCTCAACGGAGAAATGCCTGAGAATATCACAGCAAATTGGTGAAAGCTGTTGGGAATAATGGTCTTCCACACCGGTGTGTTGCAAGATGAACGAGGGTGTTTCTGCGAGACGCGTAGCAACCAGTGACCAGCAACACACATGATGACCTGAGAATGTGTGGACAAATGTGTCAAGTAATCGAGCATGTACCAAATCGAACGGGCATGTAATGCTTTTGGAATGTTACTCGTGTATATTAAAATGATTTGGAATGTGAAATCAGTACTGTCAATTCAAATATCTCAATAAATATGAGAAACACAATTTTGGTGTGTCGTTAAATGTCCATACTCTTTTTTCATACCTTGTTATTTCATGCGTATATTCAAAATTTTCCATACGTGTTCGTATTCCCACAAAAAATAGTTGCCATGACTTTTGGCTCAACCCTCGTATTACGTATTTCGGTCTTTTCCGTCACTTTAATTTATCATAGATTTCGGGTCTCTCTACTTTCCGATTATGTCATGGTGGCAGGAGTCATGGTGTCTTTGTGCGGTATAGCCCAAAGTATATCAATATCTAAAAATGTAATATAAATTTCAAAAAGTCCTTATTTGGTACAATACTGCACAAGAAACATAATTCAGGCCTCATCCAACTCCCTTTGTTCCACAATTGTCCTCACGCCCAGTATTTCCCCACTTGCCTCCAAATCTCTTGTCACCACAAGACACATTAACATTAATTTGGAAAGCGAACTCCTGGTTTTTAAAGAAATAGGATGTGTTGTCTCCGAGGTATACGTGTTTATATTCTGTGGAGCAGTGAACGGTTTGAATGTCATAATCTGCAAATTTCATATTTTTTTTTCTCTTTTTGAATATATTGGATGTAGGACTGTGCAGTGAAATACAGAAATATCACTTTCACTTGTTTTTTATTGTTATCTGGCACGTTTTTAATAAATTGTCAAAAACCCTTATCTACCCTTGGCGTGTTATTTATGGAGGGGGTTATAGGGTATTATAATATACTAATTATAGAGTATACAATATTAGTACCTTTTTTAAAATTAAACAACTTACATCTGCCGTGTAAATGTTGAGAAATAGACAATCTTCTGAGCCAGAAACGTTGTCGGAAGTGAGGCTTTGCTGTAAGCAAATGCTGCCAAATGATGTAGCATTTCGTACTCCACTCCAGGGTTGCTGTTCTTCAGGATCCTAAATAGAAAGTATAGTTAAATGACTCTATAGCCTCGCAAATAATTGAACTACAAGTCGGGTATTATAAGTCTCACGATTAGCTAGAGTGCAAAGGTAACTCATTAGGGTAATTGAATGGGATTTGGTCTGCTGATTCTTTGCATGTAGCACAAATTTTAAATGCACCAGTTTCAGAGAAATGGAAAAATATCCATATTGCATAATGATGGCGTGAGGCGTTGTCCCTGATTACTTCGCTGGCTTGCAGAAAGTGCCCTCAAGAAAAGGGGGACCAGTTACTCTCATAAGAGACATCATCATGAATAGTTCAAAAGTTTCCAATGTTATAAAAACGCTGATTAACTAAGTGCAATGTCGAACATCATCCAGTAAACTCTGAGTTGGCCAGATGTGCACGACTATTGATCATATTGGATAGTTTTTATTAAAACTCATTTATTGTTTCTGAAATGTTTTAAACACACCTCAATACTAGATTTTTGAAACGACACAATTAGAATTCAAACGTAATCTATTAAATGTAAATTATTAAATCTTTTAGTGTGTTTTTATGAAGGTCAGAAAACAATTAAATAAACAAGATAAGACGTAAATATGTTACTTTATTTCTGTTCTTCTCAGCGAACACTTTGTTAGTTGTTGCAGAAATTATGAAATTAATCACAGGTTACATTTCGGTGATTACCGCAAAATTGAGTTATACATTTTAAATAACATGCACATTAGTGCTAAAGCGGAACTTCCTAAGAATAGAACTTCAATTGCCCGAAGGCGTTAAACTTTGCGACGAATGAGCACGCGTCCTATTGCCTCGGAGAACTTTCTCTACGTAATTCTATTGGACATCGATGCTGTGCGCGAGGCATTTGAAGATAAAAGAGTGGGGAAGTCCCTTCATCAATAGAATTGGCGGGTGTGAACCCCTTTTGAAAGCTTCCAGAACACATTTGTACCCGACTTCGTCATGCCACTATGCGTTGGCACAGAGGTATTCCCGGGAGACGCGACTGTCACGCACAGTGACAGCTGCGCGCGCGCTCGCGTCTGGAGCAAGAGGTGAACGGCCGTGACTTCTGCATCCCGTTGCACCAGCTCTGATTCAATAGCACTAAGTCAATGGCGTGCAAATGAAACGTACTTACAATGTATAAAATATGCGCCAACACCCCCTCGCACGAAATGCTGATATAGGTATATAAAATTAAAGTAACGTATGCAACTCTTTAATATCGACCACAGCCCATACTAACGGTATTTCATCTCAATGCATTACGAACGAATAGCAGTCGTTTGTTTGGCTAAGCCATTGAATCCTTTATTTCTGTTTTTATTTCAAATAAGCATTTACTTCTGAAGACCTTCCATAATATACCACATGTTAAGATTATCCTGCCAGTTCGTTCTTATAAATTAGTCATTCATGTGACTTAATGCGAAAAATAATTGTTGCTTTATTCACAGTCAGCGATTTTAATTGTTCAAATACATGTTTCAGGTATAATATTTTATTAGAATATGATACGAGCAAAGTATAAAATCGCAGTTCTCATTCTAATATGGTCGTTCTAACTCAGTTGAGCGTCACAGAAGTAGATACAAGTCTACCTTTCTAATTGTATTATAAAACAAAAACGAAATTTTTAAGCCAAATAATATTTTTCGCATTGTGAGAAAAATACATATAGGAGAAAATGTATTTTTCTCCATAACGTTGCAATGATTTTTAAATACAATCTGTTTTGTTTTTCTTTCTTGCGTTTTCAGGCATATATTTTAATGTTCTTGTTCTCATGAGTTAAATTATGTTTATTTATTAATTTTTATGAGATAAACATTTTTGGTGCACCTTAAACTTTTTGCTTCATTTTGCGCACGAGTATTTTGTCGATACTAATTTTGTTTCTTGAATTTTCCGACAGAAATTCCTTTCAATTGCTAGAGAGATTTTTTAATTTTTTATTTATTTGTTGCGTCAATATAGACGTCTCCTAGCACCTTAAGGAACGTTGAGCGCAGTGGATTAATCCTCTGTTATTAAGCGTCCTCTAGGGGCCCCTGTGTTGTCAACTTACGTCAGTCATAGTCAATCACTATAAGGGTAAGGTTCGAATAGGTGTAAGGTTTAGGATTTTAGGGGTAAGGTTGAACTTGCCCTTGTGAAGAAGGCAAACTCGTTTACCCGGCAACTTACGCTCCCCCGGCATTGCAACCTACCAACGAACCGGCGTGTATGGAGGATAATTCAAACGTCTGATAATAATTCGAATAATATTTTATTCAGGTAAACTGCATAACGCATTCAATTGCAATAGAGCTCACCTGGAATCGCAACCTGCCTATGGGCGGGCGAGCGTACGGAACGCCCTCGAAGGCGTAGACGGTTGTGAAGGGCGCGTATGGCCGCTGCTCGCGTTTGCCCCGCAACAGGCCCTGCGCCACCCGCACCACGAGCTCATCGCCGGACCCTTTGCTGGGGTCGGAGGGCGCGACAAAAGGCAGCAGTGCAAGCAGCCATAGCACGCGGAACTTCGGAGCCATGGCGTCGCCCTTTCTCAACTTCTGCTGAAACAGACAAGAAAAACAATCGAACGACTTTTTTTTTCATTTGCTATTATAATAAGGAATTTGAATATGCAGTGAGGTAAAGAAAAGTGAAAATATGTTTTCTCTTTTCTCTACCTCTCATATTTGTGTGTTAGCGCTTAACAATATCTTAATTGAGTTTTACTGACGTAAACTTCATTCAGTTGAGAGAGAGCTTGGGGTCATACCCTTCCAACGGTTGGGGATGGAGAGACTCCGATAAAGTGAATTAATGATTCGAGTAATTGGAATCGTAAGCAGAATCGCATCCAATATAAGATCGGAACAAGACATGTACTATTCGTTATGAAATGTCGAACACTTCCTCTTCAATGTATTCTTTCAAGCGCGCGATTATTTCAAATAAGTAGGCATTCAATACTTATTTTCGTATGCTATATACCGTTTACTCATGAATTAAAATAAAACCCGAGACACCTGTTAAGAGATTTTAGAAGGAAAATTAATATTGATTGAATAGTGTTAAAATAATTTTCCCATTTTACCTACACTAAATATTTTATTAAAGTATAATATCTAGTAATATATTTTCAGTGAAAGAATGGAAGAAATTTTAAAATGCTATAACGAACCTATTTTATTAAATACTTTCATTACTTACACTACTATTATATACTTTCAAACGTACCTCAGAGGTATTCTTCTATTGGAGGTGGTTCACTTGCACTCTGTGACTGCAGAGCGAACACTGATGCAAATGACCTTGGAACGATCTATTTAAGATGTCTCATGCGTAAAGAAAGTTAACCGTGGGGAATTCCAGATAGCGGTTTTCCTGGGGAACACCACACCTCTTTCCATCCTCTAATGGCAAGCAGCACTTGCTCTACATATATTCTTGCGTCTTTATTACTGAAACAAAATAAACATTTCTTTGGCGTTTTTACGTGTAAATCTTATTTTTTTCTGGTTAACAAACTTTCAATTCATTAAAACTGTTTTGTTTGTCCTCTTATGCTGGTCTTTCTATGAACTTACCCTGTATTTTTAAAATCGCATATTTAGAACAGTAATAAATAGTGATTGTTTACGACCTGAACCTAACTGTAGATTACGTTTGCTTACTACTGAACGATACATACATTTACTAATGAAAAGCAAACGTTGCTGATGCTGTCTACTATCTACCTTTTTTTTACACATGTGCTGACTCAAAATTAATTGTACCACCACCTCAGATCTACTTCTGCTAATGTGTGTCGCATGTTCGCTTCAACTAATATTTTCACATGCCGAAGAGTCAGTGACGGAAAACACTGACAAAATAGAACAAACATAGATAAAGTAAGAAAAATTATATTTTGAGAACCTTTTTTGCTCTCTTATTTTTTTCTTAAAAGAATGTCGTTCACAAATCCACCTGCATTATTCTTGTTTACATCTTCATTTCTATGGTACAAACACAAATTTGTTAAAGTATTGCTGGAGCGTTCCAAACTATTAAACGTTTCAAAAATTACCTTTTCGTGTTAGTATTACATCACGCGTTGGAGTTATTTACAATAAAAGTTCTGGTAAATTTTTTTGTATAAAATTGTAAAGACGTACGTTCATTCTTCAAAGATAAAAAACGCAAAAGTGAGAGCAATAAATTTATGGTCCGATGCTGTATGAAATGGGCACTGTATATATATATATATATATATATATATATATATATATATATATATATATATATATATGTATGTATGTATGTATAATATCATCATTCAGACTTTCCCTGATTCTGCAGGCAATGTCAGAACGGTGCAGGTCAAAACAGCGTCGGGCACGACCACAAGGCCAGTACAAAAGTTATGAATTTTACCAAAGAAACTTTAATTCAATTCTGGCAATCCCTCGGGGGGTGCCTATCATTACCAGGTGCCTTGTCGTTCCCGGGGATCTGAGATCAACGGAGCCACCCACAATTTTCTTTGTTTTTCTTTCATAAAATGACATATACTTTTGTTTATTGTGCACTCAGGCATCGACCAATAAATTTATTGTATTTGTTTTGCATTTTGATTTTTTCTCCTTCGCTTTGGTGGTTCACAGCGCCAAACCCTTTTTTTTAACCTTTGAGTCACGAATTATCTCAGTGATACAAACTGGGGTAATTATATTTTAACTCATTGATTTTCTTATATTATCTCGTTCTTATTTTTGAATTCTCACCGTCGTGTTGGCGTGACGGCGTTCTTGGAAATGGAATTCGTGTCATGCGTTCGCAGAACAGCCGTGTTTGTTACTTAGTCTGGTTTCCTGTTCTTTTCTCCCTTTGAATTGCCAATGCTACGCCTTGTACTCAGTTCATTCAATCTTTATTTTATCTACGAGACATAGGTATTCGTATTCTCTCTATGCCTGGGTTCCTATCTCATCTCGCCTTTCTAATGCAAGTAAATAAGCATTAGGTTTAAATTAAACGTGATAATGAAGTTATCTCATGCATTTCTAGGTGCACACGAAAGGGTGACAAAAAACAAAAGGAATTTAGATATATTGCCCAGGATGTTATAACAATATTCAGGATGTTATAAAACCTGTGATGCGTGTTAAAGAGTTCGGTAAGGAGGGGATATATGGAAGGCAAAATTGAAACTGGTTTCAACCATTTGAGAAGTGTTTTTTAAGATTTGTGTTGCTACAGTAGGTCCACTAAGAAAAACGGTATTTGTAAATACATATTTATTAACGGAAATCTGCGTAGCAATGAAATACCCTGAGGTAGTTCCGGTTCTGAATATAAAATCCAAAACGATAATCAATGTTTTTTGAATATAGTTAGTCGATTAGGATTTCAGAATGAAATGTGTTTGTGTTTATGTGTGTTGAGGCTGCAAATGTTGCTTGATATTTGAAAAAACTTTGTAGGAGATGTTTGTGCCAAAAAACCAGCTGCTACACGTCTTTCTAATGCGTTGACAGAAGGGAAAGTTTTGAAACGACAAGTAATAAGATTGTCAGCATTTCTTGTCGTGAGGATCATTACGTTTTGAAGAAATTGTCCCTATTACCTTTGTCGGGGTGAACATAAATAGTACTTTTCCTTATGGATTCCATTTGTTATTTATGCAATCGCGCCACCGCATGACTCTCTGCTGTTTTACGCGGTTTAAAGCACTGGCGCACGGAGAATTCAATCCCAATTAGCTTTCTAACACTATCACTCACTTCGATTGCACTCGATACAGCGCAAATTTATTCTTTTTTTACGAGCAATGCGATCTGCTATCTGCAGACTAGATACAATTCGATCTCATTGCGTCTTAAATGGAAAGGCGTTTGATTGTGAGGCGATGTGCCATGCCGCCAGCTGGCGTGTTCTCCCAGGAATTCTTGAAAGCAGTTTCAAAGTTTCACACGAGAAATTAATTATTCCTCTTTGTGAGGGAGCTCGCTGTTGGGGGGGTAAAACTATCTCATGCGTGCGACGTTTGAAATGTGTGTTCTTTGCTAGATTTATTTTATTTTATTTCATTTTATTTTAAGTCGATCCGATCCCTTGAGCACTAAGGCCTGCCGCGGAAGCGGGGATGTGAGTTGGCACACCTATAGTTTTATAACATAATGTTCTTACATAACAGTGTTGAATATTATATATATTTACTAGTGTTCTGTATTAACTAAATTTTGAAAATTGTTGCACATTGATTTTAAGTTTCTTCCAAACTTGTCTGTATTTTACTACTTGAGAGCACTTTGCAACCTCTTCTTTCTTGAACACATCGGACCATCTCTTTTGTTTTCCTAGTTTGCATCAGCCTCATCTCGGATTCCAAAACGTAGCACGGTGTGATCATCTGGTTGGATATTGACGGACAACATGACCTTGCCAGTGCCATTTGAGTTCATGGACACTACCTCCACTGTCGTGTGGTTTTGTTTTCTTTCTGATTTGCTCGCATCGAATTTTATCTCTTGGTATTATATGAAGAATATTTATCTTCATATGTGTCTGGCACTTGCAAATATTAGCATGGACTCCTGGGCCACTCTTGAGAGCCATATGTTAATAATGGTCAGATGCAGGAATCTATAATGGATTTTTTGACTTTAACCACTCTTAACATAACACACTTTTTTTTTCAATTTTGATTGTAGAAGAAAAATTATTTTATTAATCCACTTTTTCTCGTTCTGCGCATTCTGATTGAATTATGACACTCAGTGCGTCACTTAAAATAACGAACGGCATGCTACAGCAAGGAAGCCACATACCACTAAATATTTGATATCTACGTGATGAGTTACGAAACAGGGACATTTTATATTATTAGCACGTATGTAAAATATACGTAAATACCGGTTTTGAAGAATTTTGAAGTTTGCTTTTGTTAAATATTTAATTATTTGAAATGATACATGAGAATATCTTTTGTTGAGTAGTGGTCGTGCTTTTTTGGGGGAAACCACTTAGTGTTTTTATTCGGCAACATGGTTACAGCTACAAGTCTCTAGTATCATATATTTACGTGTCATGTGACACAGTTCGTTTGTCCTTTGGTATTGCACTTGTATTTAGGTTATTCTCTGATAGTCATCGTTTACGTGACTTCAACTGTCTGGTACTGTCTTCGTTGGAGAAATTTTCATTGACAAGTCTTCGCCAAAAGTTTGCACGGTCTTCCAGAACAGGCTGATTAGTAGAGAGTTCCCTGTTTATATCCAAGTAGGTTTCATTGACAGATGTAAACAAAGGCCAGCCTCCGTTTTCCTCTTGTGTCGGTCTCCTGCAACAAGGTTTACATTTTCTATAAGGAATGTTACAAATATACAAAAATTAAATGCTGAATTTCTGATTTCTGTCTTGCTACTCTACGATCAAACCTCATTACTCGATAAAGCAATCGTTTACTGTTTCTACGTATCAATAAACTCTAGTTTTCTGCTGACACAGCTTTCTCATAATTATTTTTTTAATAAAAATAATGATAAAAATATCATTTTCCCTATGATATGACATGTAGTTACCAAAATGTGCTACATTTCGAGAAAACATTTTATGTGGTTTTGTTCAGCAAAATGTTGCTGCTGTAGGCCACTAGGAAAATATAATTCTTCTTTTCTGAGCATGGGAAACTTCCCTTGAGGTCTCACGTCCCCTCCATATCCAGAAGAGGGTGTACATGCGCGTATAATATTGAATTATGCTTATATTCTTTACTACTTATTACTATTTCATGATTATTTTCTTACTAAATTCTCTCTTATAAAAAAAAACTTTGCTAAGTGATCTATATATGATTGAATGACGAATTATTCCCTTGTTTTTGTTGTGTGTTGTTAATAAATTGTTCAGTTATTTTCATTTCACAGTATTTAGCAATAATGTGTAATAAATTGACTAGTCACTGAAAGTTAACCATTCTCGCTTGCGGTTATACAGAGTTTTAACAGGTAAAAATATTTGTCTGTTAAACCTTTTAACCTGAACGTAGAAAGTTCATTTTAAGTAGATATTTTTCTCTTTTAATTAAACAAGATTACAAAAATGAAGACACTTTTGATTATTTTTTTCTCAATTGAGAATTTGAAATAGGACTGATGTATTATTTCTGATTAAGGGATCATTTATTTGCTTTAAAAAGAAAATATGGATTAATATAGCTAAATTTGTGACAATAACTGTCAAGTAATTTCTTCCAAAGATTGTCATGGGCCAGGTATCCAGTGCCGTACCGCCACTCCGGAGAAACAACCCTTACTTTTAAATCTCGCGCCAATTTTCCTAGACGCAGTGTCCACGACCTTTAGTAAAGCATGTTACCTTGCCCGCAACCTTGACGTGTCTGTTCTAGGGTAAAATGGAATTTATGACCCAATGTGAGAGATGAAGATAATGCTATCTGTAATATCTTTATTATTTAATTTTAATCACGTTCATCTTACACTATTTCTCTCCGATCTTTCATTTTACTATTACTTATATATGACTATTCATTGTTTCTTGCGCATTTTATTTTGAATTTAAAAAATATTTCAGTGACCACTGAATATATAATGTCAAAATGATTTGGTAAGTAGTAGACAGCAACGGTCTTACATTTTGATGCTCCCTTAAACCTCATGCATCATCACAATATTATAACCTCACTCATCATTCCGTTAGTTCATGAAGGCTTCTTAGAATATTTTTTGGCATATTTTCAATTTTTTGCAAAATATTTGTCCACTTATTATAAGAATTGATTTATTACTCAAGGTCAGGTGGATAGATTTCTAAGTTTTGCTTATGCACTTACCCGTATTTCACGAACTGTTCGATGAACTGGACTTGTCGCTCCCTCAAAGGGCGTTCTGAAGAAGGGACGGGCCTAGGTTCTCCTGAATCACGAACTATGAAGTCGAACACATAAGCCATGTCGTCTCCGTGCATCACTCCGGGGATGTGCGTAGCTTTGTAAACCAAGTCCTTGAGGAAGGCGATAGGACCATCGCGTGAGAACTGATACACGTACACAGGTGCTCCGTGGTGCGCCATTAATCTTGCAGATGTTGCGGTCCCCGACGCAAAAAAAGTATCAGTACACAGCTGAAAAAATAAGGTTTCTTAGAGCTTTTTCTGCCTATTTCGCTTACGGTACCAAAGATATATTTTAAAGCCTTCTGGCTCTTATTGATTCATATGTAATCTCGCAAGTTATTTTAAATTTAAAGTATACTCACTCTTTTATCTTATGTGTCAGGGCGTTAAAGTGTGATTTCGTTTAATGCGAACAACTACTAAAATGTTTCGTGGACATGAATTACTGTTTATTATTTGGTGCTGACATGTGTATATGCCTGTAAATATGTCAATAAATGTATATTTTCACTTTTATAAAGATAAAGCATTGGAAATGAGACCTGTAGTTTTGAGCCCCACGCTTTGGCTAACTTTTAGCACACCAGCAGGTCTGCTGTTGAACGATCGAAAACAATGTTGTGTTAATGTTTCTGTAGTGCATCACGAATAATGCCGACGTCGCTGGCTGAATTCCTTAACTACTTTCTGTGAAGTCACGGAAATTAAGGCATTCGAGACATTACGAGTTCTTTTTTGGGTGACCGCCTGGAAACCCCAGAACCTAAAGGTGCTGGACGAATGGATAAAAGAGAATGACTTGCTACGACTGACGCTGACTGACTTGATTAAAGAAATATTACACTAAACATTCGATGCCAGGAGGAGGCTACAAATTTGTTGTTACGAATTGTAACACAACCAATCGCTGATTATCTACGAGTCCCTGATGTAACATGCAAGTGACGTGTTTATCAAGCTCTTCATCTCGATGTTATTTTCTCTGTCACTTGGTAACAATGTGAATTGCTTTTAATACGATTCCTAAATATTCTGTTTCTGGTGATTTGATGTCACACAGGTGAATGATTTAGTAAGAAATATTCACGTTTCTTAACTTCTTCCTATTGTTGGGCTTCTACACCTTGGCACTACTCTTGGCCACTTGGCACTTGGCACTTGGCTTGAACGTTTGCCACTGCTACTACTACGGTTGCTATTGCTATCACTGCTTCTTCTACTGTTAATGTCTACTGATTCTGTTCACTTTTGTCGATTCCCAGTTCAAGTCAGTTTGCTATTCGCAATTTTTTTTACTGTGTTATTATCTTTTTTGATTATTTATAAGTGCTAGTATTTAAGACAACGAACTTTAAACTAATATTGTTGTGTATCACATGAGAACCAGGACATTTTCTTCGAAATTTTCCATCAATTTTAAAACGTCGAAGTTTTTATCGATAATTTCATCGACATCGAAAACCTTTTGATGTTGTATCGACTCCTCCATGTTTTGTTAAAATTTGCCCCCACTAATTACGACACTTACTTGCACAAATTTCTGCAGAGTGTCGTTGTTGAGGTGGGCGTCCCGGAGAGAGCGGTCGCCGAGGTAGAAGCGGCGCAGATCGCGTGCCCCCTCGGGGGTCTGGTGCCCCGGGGGCAGATCCCACCGGAAGATGGCCTCGAAGTGCTCGTCCACTTCCGCCCACGCGGATGGATCCGAGAGGAGGTTCATAACTACGCAGGAATGAAAGTGTCCGAGGGAGGAGGCAAATCTCGCATCTCTCGCAAATTATTTTTTTAACTAAACTGCGAAACCCAAGGAATGTAATGAACAGGTTTTGGGTTGATAAAGGATAGCTTGTGAGAAAATAGGAACATATGTACAGTTTTTTAAAAAATCATAAAAAGGAGGTGAAATATGAACAAAAATTAATAAAGCAAAATAGACGGGAAATAATGTACCAATTAAACTTTTAAGTTGCATAAAGTGTATGGCAAAATAATGTATGTACTTTTAATCATCGGAATATAAGTGCAAAATACATTCAACGGCAATCTTTCGTTTTTCGGAAACCGTGTTCGGAATAAAGCACATGTCGAATAGAGCATATGATGAATATTGTGCTAAGAACAACCATTACTGTAACCTCCTAAAATATTGATGTTACTACATAAGCTTCCATGCATGTACTATGAAGTGAATTACAAGCACATAGCTTTAAAATTACTTCAAAAACCTTAATTCATAAATATATATCAAAAATTGATTTTAAATAATGAATAAGCAAGTGTAAATGCGTAGATATACTAGCCCAATTATATATAAATATTATGTATAAAGTCCTTCTAACCCCCTCGCCATTCGGCGTACGGTTTGCTTACCGAATTCAGTTAACTTACGCATGAGACTTTTAAAACATGATTTTTGTGTTTGATTAAGGTTTTAATCCCACCTCATCGTATAATCTTATTTTGTAACTTGAAGACTGACAACACAATTTGGGTAGGCGGACTTTTGAAAATTAAAGTAAAGGTAAAATAACAGTGCGTTGTGCTTTTTGGGAAAAAAAGGAAAGAAAGAAAGAAAAACATTTATGAATATAAGAGCATTTGAAGATTAATTATTATTGTTTGATGGTTTGTAGGAAAAATGCAGTGCAATTTGTAATCCTTTCTTACATTTTTTTGTTTATTTTATCATATTAGAGTATAAAAGTAGAAAATTAATATGTATTTTAATTACGTATATTGTCACTTAATATGATTGAAGCATTAAATTAACCATAATAACGAAAAGAGTAGAAAATGCTAGAAATCGCAATATTTGTGTGGGGTAAGTGTATGTTTTAGCCTCCTCCTAAAACTGAAATAGAAACATTTATTTAGTTTTCCACTGTGAGCCGCTAAGTAATTCTAACTTACAATGAAGTATCATTATCCCTTCTCCATTCGTAAAGCCAGTCATGTAGGGTACTTGAGTGAAGTTTCCTTCCTTCATAAGCTGCTCAGGTTCATTTGTGAGGAATGGAGAATTACTTGATGAAGCTGTTTCGACTGAAGGGAGAAACGTGTTCTTCAGTATATAGCGCTGGTACTGCAAAGAAAAAGAAAACAATTTTTGTGGACTGAAGAGTTTGTAATTGATTTTAAGGACTGATTTTCAAGCAATGCTATATTGATCTGCATTTATGAACTGTTGATATTCTGTATTTCCATCTGCCAAAGCAAATAAGTTGTTGTCCGGAAAGTACATTTACTAAGTTATCATTGAAACATCACATTTTTATTTCAATCGCATATCAAGATGTTTACTTTTGTTGAAGAATGGATTTTTATTGAATAGATGTCTGAAAGCGTATCTAAAGTTTTGATTAGTTGAATTGACAGCAAGATGTATTTTTTAGATGGTCTTCTAAATTACAAATTTTGCTTCTGCATCATGCATAACATACGTTGTGCTCTTTGTTAACAAACTTGCTGTTTTGTGATGTTAAATCTACATCTCATAGCAACAGATGACCTTTGACTACTTTGTTGCCAATCGATAACGTCTAAGAACCAGAAGACAATATGTATTAAAGAAAATTTGTTTGAATGAATACACTCACCTGTTTGTTACATCTGGCAATGAGAAACATACCAGCGCAGCGTTACGATATTTATGAGAGAAAATCAACACACCATTTGCTATTAATTATCATTACTTCGTTTAAATTTATTAGCAATATTAATTATAGTCAGAATGTCAATTTTTGTGTCTGCATTCAAAGCAGAGCTCATGACAATCAGTTTCCTGAATTCACACATCTCTCAGAAGCGAGGAAAACTTCACAAATAATTAAATGTAATAATTGCATTATTTTTAAAGTATAAATACACACGCAATTTAAAGTATGGGTGCAACGTACTGACAGAGACCTTCTTGTACTCTTCGGTTTAAGCGAACGTTTAGGTTTTGCCCCCAACCCTCCTCAGTTGCCTTCTATTGCCGCATAGACGATATTTTTTCACATTACCACGGCCACTATACTCGTAGTAGTATAGTTGTACAACCTGATCCTACAAGCAAATTTTGGTTGAAAATACAGTATTTGATAACATAAGCCATGAAATAATTTACTCGTCAACTTTAGCTAAAAAATTCCCCGCTCCAGTATGCAGTGTGGGACTGCAATCAACGTCTAAAGAGTTTTATCCCTTAAACATTATTCCATGGTATTCTAGGAATAATAATAATAATGGTTCAAATAATTTATTACTGACATAACATTGTTTCAGACTACTATTTAACATATGTGGATCTGCTGGGTTTCTCTTTCATTGACTTGCCAGAAAAGTAATCCATTATCACTTTTTCCAATACGGAATTAACGTTGTATTTCACACAAAATTGTAATTATATTTTTAAACACTCAAGTGCCACTCTTTTTCTTTGATTTGTTGGGTAATAATGTTTATATAGCGACATTTGCTACTCTTTTATTTTCAATCAGAACTATATTTAATGTCGAAAAGTATACACCAAGTTTATGAATTGTTCTCCGTGTTGAGAACAGGGTCGTCACTTGTAGGAGAAAAAGCATGAATACTAAATGGAGGTGTAGAACGAAATTTCGCATGAAATCCAACAATTTTTTACAAAGTAGATGAAATATATAAAATCGTGTCGTAACATCTGATTACAATTCTCGATTGGTTACCAAACTTGCCACAACAGCCTCGTTTGGCGATTTTCCAATCTCGTCTTGTAATGAGGTGCTTTACGACACATATCCCAAATAAATATTACACCGGTGATCAGAATAAGTTTATTTCTAACGTATTGTCCATATTACATACTATTAGTTAATATTGTCCTTCAAGTAAGAGATTGCTAACTTTAGTTGAAAATCTTCAGACAATAGAAAACCACCGACTCGAATACGGATTACGGAATGTCATTTAACGTCTAATCATTTTGAAACTATCATTATAACACAGTTTATTTCTAAAATATTTTGCAAATGGGTGTAGTTTTTTCTTTCTCGCTACTACTTATGCCGTATAAAAACAGTATTGTAATGCTGCGGGGGGGGGGAGGCAAATTTTTTTAAAGAAACACTGTTATTTTCTAGCCCTGGTAATGAAAAAAGATATCTTGTCTGTACATATAGTAAATTACTGTCTCTAACACGTTGAGTACTTAGAATCCATGTTTTGTGAGTTCTTCATGCCGAAAAATCGTCGATTGACGGCAAAACGTGGGTCCGTCCTCTCTGTGATCAATTGATCCGTTTGCTAGGGTAGTGCTGCGGCATGCCCCTGGCATTGACGGAAGAAACCACTGAAATCTGCCGGTCGCTATTATTTTCTTCCAGACAACGCATGATTTCAGCCGGCTTTTTTTCCAAATCTGTCTGAGCATTGATGTTTGAGAAAATACCAAGAGCTGGTCATTTCGGGATAGAACATGTAATTAGTTTAAAATTGAGATTTTTGCTGTCGTGTCAGCAAGCTTTTTATGAACAAAATCAAACTTAATCATTATTCGTTTTTAAAGCTTTCTTGACTGCTGCAGCTGATATACGTTCACATATATCATTACATTTTTTTGTTAACATCTCCACTCTTCCCTCATACATTTCTCTGTCTTTATTTTTCAACTTTCCTTTCTCATTTACACTCAGCTCCTTGTCCACATCCATATCTTATCCCTTTCTCTACCTTTCCTTATTAAACTAAATGACCTTCTTCTCTTAGTTTCTGTTTCATTTCTTCCTCTCCAAGTCCGTCGTCATATATTGTCTCTACCTCTCTCTGCCTTCTCCATTCATTACGCGTTTCCCAACCTCTCCCGCATCCCACAGTCACATGTTTGCAAACATGGCCTTCACAAATTCCTCCTCTACTGACTTACCTCCCCCGGTAGAATCTACTTTTTCTCTCCGTCTCTAAACCCATCTATCTTATTTATACTGCCCTCGTTTCCTTCTCAACGAATCTCGGTATACCGCATCCTACTGTTTTCGTATAAATGTAATTGTTTCATTGACCGTAGCAAGTCTATAAAACTCTAACCATTTTAATATTTGGCGTGTTAGCAAAAGGCAGGTATCCATATTTATCTCTTCTGAATTTTGTTTACATCAAGAAGAGAATATGAGGATTTCTTAATTTCCTTTTGTAGTAAAACATTTAGGTTTACTATAGAAAATGTTTATTGTAGTTTCATGCATCCGCTTTTAATATCTTCTAAAGAAAAGAAATAGACCATAAAGAGTGAGTACAATAAAGCTTGCCATTGAAATCGAGAACTTCAAACAAATTTAAGTGATTCGTCAACGACGGCACTATGCTATTATAAGCGCTGGGACGATCCTCTTGGCCTCAGTTGATCTGCTAGAAATGTCATATACTACTAATTTAAGCAGGCAGTAAACACCGGTCCCTCTGTGAGGTTTGAGGTATCAAACCTAAACGCAATATCGTTATGTTTAAGCTCACATCGGTATGAAACAATGACGTAATCGCTCCGTCAAGCTAATATAAAATCCTATGGCCCTCAACGAAATTGTTGACCTACAGGTAAAAGTTGGCATCTCATAGAGCTAAACCCTCTGAAAGGGTAGGGTTAAGCGCGAAGATTTCTCAACTGAATTTCTGGAGAAACCGAAATGCCTTCGGGGTTACTCTGTCTCTCAGGATTAATCGGAGGGTGAATGAGGTTAGTCTCCACCCACATATTCTTACGTTTGAATGCGAATCTCATTGAATGAATGTGCTATAGATGTCATTTACTGCTATTTCCAACTGGATGTAAATACCTAACTCCCTGTGCTGTTTTAGATGTCAAACGTAACGATAATTCTCAACATTGATATGTTTGAGCACTCATCGATATGATTCAACGCCATTGTCGTTCTGTCGAACTATTAAAAGTCATACGAACCCCAAGAAAATTATTGGCTGACAGGTAAAGGTAAAATGTATAAACTACAAATTAACGCAGTTATATGAGAGTAACAACTCACTTCATAAATACTCCACGAGTAATTATACTTCTTCCATGCATTTATTGTTTATTCATTTGGAAGGGAACTTAGGATTAATTGCGCAGTTTGACATAAAAATATGTCATTGTCAATGATTCGAAAGATTCATAAAGGCATATTATGTTCGTTTTTTTTTCGAGGTGTACTACAAATTCTATGATTTATAAAATGTTAATTACATTATTCTTTAATATCAATTTTCTCGATATATTGCAAGAGCCGCCTAGAAAGCTGCGTTCCATCAATCACAGCGCAGATACCGCCACAACTAGTGAACAATTTCAACGACTTAACCATGATTCAACGAATCAGTCTGCAAAGCAATCGTACTACCGGTTCAATTAACAGTTGAGGCCCCTCCGGATGCCATCACTAAATGATAGCTGCAATTCGTTCTCTTTAATATAAAATATTACTTCTATAACATTTGTGGAATATTACAATATGATGGTGTTTAATAATTACTATTATTCATTTTATTGATTAGTTTTAATTTTTTGCCCTCCTTACGCAGACTGTTCTAAGGCTAAAAATTTCATGTGATATGTTTGTGAATGCACTCTATAACTTATACAATGAATTTAATGACAAAAATATATTTTCATTTAAAATTTTGAATAGAAAACCTATTGATAGAAACTATATAATTTTCGCACCAAATGCTCTACGATTTAAAATAAGTTTTACCTAAACTGATGAAAGAATGTGTTGATGTGGAGAGACATTGTGGTATAATTATAATTATTATTATTGTTAATGTTATTATTATTATTGTTGTTGTTATTATTATTATTGTTATTATTATTCACCTATATAATTCAGTGTAGGGCTAAGACTTCCTAATTTCTCAGTGAAGATTTGTGCCGTGTGGCCTTGTAACATAGCTAGTTCGCTGTCAGTATTACACTTGTGGTGATGTTCAACTTCACTATTGCTACTACACCTGCTATTAACATTTTCATTGGCAATAGCTACTTTTATCTGGTCGTACATTTATACCTATAGTTATTCGTTTTGTTTGATATTCACACTTTAGTTAATCACTTATTGTTTTTCAGTGCTTCTGACACATTTTCACCTGTTTAGTTATACACTTTCCACTTCGTTGTTATTCTTTGCATATTTTCTATTTTTCAGAAATAGGAAGATGACCATGTTAGGTATGACCTTCTCGTTGACCTCCCCTGGGTCAACCTCATCCACTTGTTGCTGACTGACTCCCGGAAGCTGTCCAACCATCGTTTGTGTTCCCTTTCTGGGTGTCGCCAGCCAACTCTCCCATATCGTTGTCGTATGTGACCATCTATGGTCTTTGTGCCTTAAAATATGTCCGCCCCATTTCCTCTTCAGTTTTCACCTTCTTCTGATGCATCTTTTTATTTTGGTTTTTCTCCTTATTTCTGCGCATGTTCTTGTGTCTTTGAGGGAAGTATTGCAAACAAATATTCTCATCTTTCTTTGGCATCTTGATATTTTTACTTTCTCGTGTACGTATACGTACGTATTTACGGACTAATATACGTAGTACAGGGACAGTTATGTAATGCTGTGGAAAATCGATTTCGATATTTCAACGGATGAACACCTTTTCAGATCCCCTAATACCTTCAAAGTGGTTCTTTTAAAAACGACCGCCTGTCTGTCCATCTCTACGTCTTGTCTGTCCGGCTGTATGTCCGTCAGTCTGTACGTCTGTCCATCTGTCTTTCTGTCCATCCGTCTGTCTATCTGGTCTAAGTGAACAGTACTAGCACCCACATCATGCGTAGGTTGTTTTTTTTTTTCAAATTGAAGAAACCCCTGTTCATGTGGCTCGAGTCAAAGCTTGAGATTTTGAAAAACATTCTTAAAAAATTGGGGATACTTTACATGAAATACTCCGGACATTTTCTAAATTTTCTGAAAAAAACAGAACTCAATTTTTTTCCATAAATTTCTTGTAAGAATAGTGTAACATACACTTAGAAAAAGGCTGACAATGCATCAAGACAACGGGCCATAATTACGCACGATTACATTAAAGAATATTCTAGACAATTTGAACTAATTATTCGGTCAACCACATTGCCCAATAAGTATGCGATCAAACATTTATGGGACAATTGAGATATTATTCGTTCACAAAATCGGCAACGAGATTTAAAATTATGGACGGCAAAAGGCAGCAAGACTCAATATTTCTGCAGAAGACATCCAACAACTTGAGTCCATGACACATCGAGTTTTTGCACTTTGCGAGGCAAAAGGATTTCCGACGCGATATCCCATGACTTTTGACACCTCAGTGTATAAAAGAAAGTAAACAATCATGAATTATTAGACTTTCATGGGTGGTAATTTAAAAAAAAACATGAGGTGAAACTCAATGTTATAGCGTACTTTTTACAACAGCGTCGCTAGAAACTTCCCCTTTGCAATTTCAGTATCATTTCGGGAAGTTCAGAACAAGAGCGAACTGATATTAAAACACTGGATAGCTTACTGGTTCTCGCGGCAAATCGTACTGGTTGAAGACGAGCTCCTGAGCGTCGACCTTCCGCAGGCAGCTAACGATGTCCTCCTCCGGCAGCTGCGGACAGGCGCCAGCGAATCTCCGCCTCAGCGCCAGCGCCTGCTCCCTCGGCCGCTGCACCCGCGCCCACGACGGCAGCGCGCTGCCGCTCACCGAGATGGCGCCGTGGAACAGCCCTGGTGGCACAGAGGTGTCACAATGGAGTAGGGGAAGACCGAATCTGGCAGCGCGCTCCCACTCACCGAGATGGCGCCGTGGAACAGCCCTGGTGGAACAGAGGTGTCACAATGGAGTAGGGGAAGACTGACACTGGCAGCGCGCTCCCGCTCACCGAGATGGCGCCGTCGAACAGCCCTGGTGGCACAGAGGTGTCACAATGGAATAGGGAAAGACTGACACTGGCAGCGCGCTCCCGCTCACCGAGATGGCGCCATGGAACAGCCCTGGTGGCAGAGAGGTGTCACAATGGAATAGGGAAAGACTGACACTGGCAGCGC